TCATCTGTTTCAAAGCAGTACACATAATTTATCCAGTTTTTCTCAGTCTTGCCCCAACCCTGATGTCAGTCCCATTCTACAACAGTGGCACCATACAGCATTTGTCCTTTTGTGACTGAGATATTTCATTCAGCATGCTATCCTCCAGGATCACCCATTTTGAATAATATTTCATGAGATCCTTGTTTTTAAATGCACCATAGTATTCCATTGTGTGAATATACCACAGCTTCTCTATCCATTTGTTTGTTGATGGGCTCTTGGGCTGTTTCCAACTCCTTGCTAGTGTGAACAAAGCCATGGTAAACATGGGTGTGCATTTATCTGCTTCGATGTCAGTTATAGTCTCTTTGGGTTATATTCCCAGTAATGGAATTGCTGGGTCAAATGGTATCTCTATTTGCAACTTTTTGAGAAAGCGCTACACCGCCTTCTACAGTGGTTGCACCATTTTACACTCCCACCAACAGTGAATAAGGGTTCCAGTCTCTCCACAACCTCCGCAGCATTTGTTGCTTGCTGTTCTGTTAAATTTTGCTATTCTTACTGGAGTGAGATGATATCTCATAGTTGTTTTTGATTTGCATCTCTCTTAGAGCTAGAGATTTTGAACATTTCTTCATGTGTTTATTTGCCATCTGAATGTCTTCTTTGGTGAATTGCAGACGGTAGATTAAGACTTTCAAAGGTGTGGCCTGTGGCCTTGCGGTGCAACTCACTATGGACCAGATCACCCCTAAATAGACGATGTTGTTATTGTGTGGTGTCAAGTCAGAACCAACCCATAGCTGACTCTCCAGCGGATTTTCAGAGGCAGTAAATTGCACAGGAGAAGATTGCCCATCCTTCTGCCATGGAGAAGCTAGTGGATTTGAACTGTGTGCCTCTGGGACTGCAGCAAAGCTTCTTACCACTAGGCCACCAGACCTCCATAAATAAATAGTTACGTATTAAGATGGATGAAAGGAAAGGCAATATACAATGATCAGCATAATATCACCAAAGAATAGGATAACAAGGAATGTATACAAGAAACACAGGCAAGGGAGCTCTGGTGGCTGAGTGACAAGAAGCTGCACTGCCATCCCAGAGGTGCGTGGTTTGAATCCACCAGATGCTCTGCCGAAGAAGGAGAGGCAATCTCCTCCTGCATCAGTCAGATCTGATTTGACAGTACACACACAAAAAAATAATAAAAAAATTTTAAAAAAATAAATACAGGCAATTAAGACAAACTCATATGTTTGGATATGAGACTAAGGGATGAAGAAGGTAAAATGCAATTACATTGTGGGTACTGTACCAAATGTTAGGAAACAAAATGTGTACGAAAAAGCAATTTGCTTTGTAAATTTTCACTCAAACCACAATTTGAAAAGAGCAAACTTGAAAAGAAGGAAAAAAAAATCTTTCTTGATCCTTTCTTTCTGATCTCCAGGGAGCCCCTCCCTTCTGTCCAATCCTATGAAGACTTGCTTTGTTGGGGGCAACGTGACGCTCACCTGCCAAGTGTCTGACGCCTACCCGCCCGCCAGGATCGTCTGGCTGAGGAACCTCACCCAGCCCGGAGTGGTCATCCTGTCCAGTAGCCACTATGTCATCAGCCAACAGGGTCAGAGCTCCACTCTCACCATCCGCAACTGCTCCACGCATTTGGATGACGGCTACTATGTCTGCCGGGCCGAGAACGCCGTGGGCGTGAGGGAGGTAGACATTTGGCTCAGCGTGAAAGGTGAGTGAGGGCAGCAGCTCCGGTGGTAGGGAGGGTTGAGGACTTCAGAGGGCCTGTGGCACCAGCGTGGAAACCCTGGGGCTTTCCTGGGCCTGATGACCCACAATGGAGAAGGCATAGCTGCTTTCAAAGTGGCTGGAAAAATTGCCATTCGATCTTAAATATCTAACATTTGCTTAAAACCCACAACTACAAATGAATAGTCCTTAAAAGAAGTAGCAATTTTTTGTCTATTTGTTGAACTGAGCAAGTTGGTGTTGCTGTGATGCTGCACACTGTTCCATAGTCTTGTCAAATACCAT